GCAAGCGGGGCAAGGCGCGCACCAGAGACCGCGAGAGACAGAATGGCAGGATATGACATGTTTGGTTCTCGTGTACACGGCAATGGATGGATGCCGTAAGATGATATATGCATTGTCAGTGGTGATGAGGAAAACATACTCGACGTGGCGTCCCAAATCATTGGCAAGCATCCATTGAATGTTTATTTTTTGTATTTCACATATCTTTGGCTTCTTCATCGGCTGCACTTCCTTGTGGCACCCAGTGCAGATGATGTGTTGCTTGTTTGCTGGTGCGGGCTTTTGAACATGAGCAAAGAGATGGATGACATGATCAAAAGGTGGGAACTTGTCCAATCTAGAGACCGCGCAAAGGACGTCAACCGCTTGGAGGGATTCCCAGTACACAGGTAAAGGTGGCAGCGCGAGCAGCTGCCTGGCTCGCTGATGCAAAGGGTTCATGGCAGCATCACTTGCTTTCAGAGCTTGCAGCTCGCTCACATGCTTTAGTTACTTGTTTTTGGAGCCTGATGCATCAGGGAAGCTTACCCGCGAACGTTTCAGGCGGGTTTCAAGATTCAAGGAGGTGGCCCTTTAGCCTTTTGACTTCAGGATATTGTCACTCATACCAACCTCGCATGACAGGTGAGGTCACCTGGCCGAAGTCAGGCACCTGGATGCTCTTCTGAGGGGATTGGGCTTCACAGTTCATGGAGTCGGTCTCCAGAACTGAGCGCATCCGCGGATTTTGCGCATGTTTAATGTGCGTTTGCAAGGTCAGTTTTTGTTCGACTGTCAGTCAACAAGGCGAGTTCCTTTAAAACGATCACCCTGCTGCAAGTTAGAGTCCAGCTCGACTGGCCCTGCTCGCGCCATGTTGAAGCCATTGCTCCATTTTGCTACCTGCCTTTGACTTGATCTGTTCCGAGGTTCAACGCAATGTGTATAGAGCGAGGAGGTGAACTGTCCCCTTACCATTTTGGCTGGATGGATGGATGGATGGATGGATGGATGGATGGATGGATGGATGGATGGATGCATGGATGCATGGATGCATGGATGCATGGATGCATGGATGCATGGATGCATGGATGCATGGATGCATGGATGCATGGATGGATGCATGGATGCATGGATGCATGGATGCATGGATGCATGGATGCATGGATGCATGGATGCATGGATGCATGGATGCATTGATGGGACGGACGGACGGACGGAGGGACGGACGGACGGACGGACGGACGGACGGACGGACGGATGGATGGGGGAGGGAGGGAGGGAGGGAGGGAGGGAGGGAGGGAGGGATGGATGGATGGAAGGATGGATGGATGGATGGTTGGATGGATGGATGGATAGATGGATGAATAGATGGATGAATGCATGGTTATATGGAGATAACGCCTCATTGCATGGTCCCTCCCGCCATAGTAGCCATTCCTCCGCAATCGTCACTGTGATGGCTCCGGTTGGAGTTCAACATGCCGGCTGCCCTGTGCTTATGCAACGGTGCACCCTAGTCACCCGCACCAGCCAAGCGAAATGATAGCTGATAAGCCCAAGACATTGTGCCGTCCTCGAAACGCAAAGATGCCCCAACGGTGGCGCTTCCCGCTGGTGTCACTCATACTGAGCTAAAGCCTCGGGATGGGGGTGCTGCCCATCCATCCCCTTCCATGCACCCTTGTGACAGTGGGAGGTTGGCGGGAACTAAGGCCCACCACCTTCCAGAGTCACCCGCTATATAGCACAGGCTGGTAGGTGGGACGAATGCGGCTAAGCTTGTGCCAAAGCCAGTAACATTACCTTGATTTTTGCGTGCTGTTGAGGTCAAGTCAACGGTGGAGAGCGGCAGCCTCAGATCCGCTGGCAAGTTTGCATCAGCCGTTGTAAATTGGGGGGATTGAATTCTGTATGAAACATGGGCCCACTAGATGGAATTGAAGCGTGTTGGGAGATGTCAGGAGAGCAGAAGACGAGGAAGCACCCTCTCCACCAATTCTATGAACTTCTATAGTGCTTTTTCTACATTTGGGGATGGAAGTCAGACATGTCTTCCGCTGTTTGGGTCAGTACTGCAAGCAGCCCAGGGCAGGGTGCCAGTTCCAGAAACGGGTGCAAGCAGCTTCCAGCAGCACGACGCCCCAAGGGCTCAAGGCACCTAGCACGGGAAACTACGAGTGATGATGTCATCTCACCACATTCCCCCTCCCCTTAGCAGCCTCCACGGGTCAGGGATGTTTGGAAAAGGCTGGCTTGCCCTTGGCACACGATGTCATGCGATGTCTATATACTTTTCAGCCGGCCATCAGTCAATACGACTTTAAAGGCACTGTTTTTTTGGGTAAAGATGACCCCCACCCTTTGGCACGTTGCAACCCCCCCCCCCCCCCCCCGAAAAAAGATGCATGTTTGCCCCCCCCCCCCCAATCAAAGCATGGATCAACAACTTCACATTGCAGAAGTTGTGACCAATCCCTTTGCCAATCGGGGTTGCCTTTAAAGCTCCACTAGCCCCGGCTTCAAGAGCCCCCTAATAATCCAGCCATGCAGTCCGTTTGCTTTATATTGCTGTATTGCTGTCTTGGCCAGATGGCGTGGACCTTGTCGATCTCCGGGGGTGTTCAATCAGAGGGTGGCAGGGCTGAACCCAGGCACTGTGACTGGGATGTCGCCCTCCCTCGTGTGGAGGAACTGCCTGGAGCCTCAGCAGGGTAATTAAGCTGCGGTAGTTGCCCGTGATGGCCGGATTCAGGTCGTTTTGGGATGCTTTGGGCAGGCGCATGTTGCGGAGTGCCAGGAAGGAGATTGTAGAATGTGCATAAAGGCCTAAAGTTCCTAAAGATGGCCCGACATCTTCAATCTAAAATGATCCTCTTTGTTGGAAAAATTGAGTGACTCGCATTTTACCCTGGCTGCCAGGTTGGATTCAGCAGCGCTCGGGGGCAGGCGATTTCCTTGTTTTGGGTGGGTTCCCCGTGCACAACGCAACAGAAGAAGCGTCCTACCCGCCCCCCCTCTCCAAGATGGCATGTTTGTTTAGCTGTTTCTGAGCCGCAGGATCCACGCATCCCTCTCCAGCCGCTCCAGCTCCAGCCTAACAAGCACAGAGCAGCACAGGTTCTGACAACGAATGCCATCAGCGGACAATGATGTAGGCTGCATGGCCACGGAAAACGTGGATTCTTGTTGATTGGCAGCCATTCCCTTTGCAGCTTTTGCACAAGTGATCCAGGATCTTTTGAAGATAAGTCCTGACACAAGACACGTGTGGCTTGTCACGTAGATGCGCGAGCGGACATGCCGTTCCAGCTGCCAGCCGGCACTGCGGCCCTGGAGCTGGACAGCGACTCCCAGGCGCTTCGACCTGTGCCCTGCTTCCCTTCGTTTCTCTGAAGATCAACTCCAAAGGGGGCCCCTTCCGCCGTGGCCACTAGGGGCCTGGAATTCTACATATTTTGCATGGGAGGACGTCTCAATCCCATGTATATAGGGCAAAGTTGCCTTCCGCCAGATGAGAAGTGACAGTAGGCATGGATCATCATGGATCCCTGATCATGGATCCCTGGACCACCGTCGCATCATCCACTGTACTGTTGGAACTGCTGTAATAGCCCCGCCTGAACAGTGCCGAAAATTATGGGGTTTTGATAACCTGGTTGGACTTGGATTTGTTAATGCTTAATAGTATTGCCAATGCCTGATTGCGTATTGCCAAGACTCCCAGTTGAATTTAGCATTGCCAGTTCCAAGGAGGAGTTTCGCAGAGTTAAAAAAGAGAGATGCGCTGATTGTTTGCATGTTTTTGAAGGGGAACAACATCTATTAAAGCAGTCACAGGATTCTGAATCGTTGTATCAAACCGACCCCAAATATAAAAGCGGGTCCAACATTACCTTCCAGATTGGACATCTCCAAAAGAGTGACGACCATTGGTTTTGATGTCAACTTCCTTATGAGCCAGCTGGACTTTGGGATTCTTTTTAAAACAACCTTGCTTTGATTGAGGCCCGTGATTAAAAACATGCTTCATTTGGCGGTTTTAGCCTGAGCTTGATGCAGGTTGAGGCTGTTGCAAGCTGGCCCGCAGCAGTCGGGTGACATATGTGCCTCTCAGATGTCCAAGTCTTTCATCATTTGTTGGTACCTCCAGCGGAAGAAATGGAATCAAAGTGAAACAGAGGGCTCCCATGCGGGGATCTCGGTGCCCGCCTTCCATGCCTTCAGCTGGTCCGGTTCGCCAGGAGCCTTGCACGCCCAAGAAGCCCACAGCGACTCAAGGCTCGCCCTCAACATGAGATCGCCCTAAGCTGTTGGCAAACTGCTTGGGAACTCGGAGTTTTGCCTTCATGGTCCGTGCTTTGTGATTGATAGTTTAACCACTTCAGGCGTGTGGATTTTAGCTTATGCTGGCTAGACAAGCCCGGGCAAAGCTGGGGGAAAAGCTAGGCTGGTTGCTGTTGGTACTGTAGCTGTTGCCAGTTGCAGCGCTCGTGTTTCTAAACAAACAGTGAGGCGCGGACTCCCCGGCGCAGCCGTCTGGCGGCAGCCTTCAGCGCAAGAGCAAAGCCAGCACGGACAAGGCGCAGGGTGGATTTGATTAATTTCGGAGTGTTCGGTTGCTTTCTAGATGGGTGATGGACAAACATTGCTGGGAAGTGAGGCTTCGACCCCCCAGAACACAATGAATCATGCGATGCCGAAACCACAAACCAACCTATTGACACGATCGGTAGCGGCTGGGCCTTGGACTGGTTGGATGAGACGGCGAAACCAGTTTGTCCAGAAACATTGCGAATTAAATTACTGGTGCGATCAATGCTGGGTTTCAGACGATCGCGCTTTAGCCGCTTTGGATTTGCTAGCTTGGCGCAGGGTGGACTTGAATCACCCTGCACGGCTCAGCTTTGTGCTGCAGTGTTTGCTGAAAGCTTGATGGGCCTGGGAAAGTGATTTGTGTAGCTTCATTTTTTGCCCCTCTTACGGATGCCTGGCTCTCGTCTATGTCTTTCGGAACCACGGGCTCAAGTTCTCGAACAACCTTTCAGAGAAAGCATGTTCCAACGTTGATTGTTTCATGCTACCTGCAACCCGGTGGCCTGTGAGGGTCTTGCCCTCTACATTTCTTCCGCGTCATGGGGGCTCCGGCTCCATCCATTTGAAGCCGCCAAGGCTGAATGCCGCGCTGACATGCGCATGCGCCGTAAAGCTGGCGCAGGCGTTTCGCCCATTCCGAACGCGGGTGGCAGCAACTTCGGGCCTTGGCAGCGCATCAGAGGCTGAAGCTAGCTATACACTAGAAGGAGGCTATGACCTGCAGCCGCTTTCAGATGGCACAGGGGCTTGGCTGGCACACCGGGCTCAAAACGATGTGCCTGGCAGTGGTCCCGGCCATGACTGGGTCTCTGAAGTCTTCGCAGACGCTGAGGACAAACACGGCGCCAACCTGGCGGCCGCTGCCGGTTTTGAAGTGCCGCGGGCGAGGCTGAAGCATCCACCAAGGATCTTGGTACTCTACGGCTCCTTGCGGCCCAGCTCCTTTTCCCGGAAGTTGGCCTTTGAGTGTGCGCGCTTGTTGGAACTGTTGGGCGCGGATGTCAGGACGTTTTGCTCTAGCGGGCTGCCTGTGCGAGACCCGGCCCTGGAAGACCATCCCAAGGTCCAAGAGCTCCGAGCCTTGTCCGGCTGGTCCGAAGGCCATGTGTGGGTGAGTCCGGAGATGCATGGTTGTGTTACAGGCGCCTTCAAGAATCAAATTGACTGGCTGCCGCTGAATACAGGATCGGTTCGCCCCACTCAGGGCCGAACTTGTGTGGTGCTTCAAGTGAACGGTGGCAGTCAAAGCTTCAATGTGGTCAACGAGCTTCGGCGTCTTGCACGGTGGATGCGCATGCCTTGCTGCACGAACCAGTCTTCCGTGCCCAAGGCGTGGCAAGAGTTTGACGACGATGGGCGAATGAAGGATTCGGACTTCCGTGATCGAGTTGTGGATGTGATGGAGGAATACTTCAAGTTCACCTTGATCATGCGAGAACACGCAGATTTCCTTGTTGACCGCTTCTCCGAGAGAAAGGAGATTGCACAGAAGGGTCGGCTCCACTCACAAGCTGAGAAGGAAGCTCGGAAACCATGATATGGTCCTCATGACTAACATGCATTGGGTCGTGGTCACCTTGCACATATTCGCATTTCGCAGGTGATGCTTGCATTGGAGATGCATGCAGAAAGAATATCATGTCAGTGACAATCTTGTGTGGCAAGGACTTTGCAGAAAAAGGTCAGCAGCTGGGTGCAGGCAATGGGCCAGTTGACCCACGATGCGCTGAGTCAGGGATGGGTGAGGCTGGCTATTGGTTGTTTGTTGCCCTTATCCTTATACTTTTACTTGTGAGACAATGAGCAAGGCACGGTGCCAAATCAAACCATAATTGGACACCTCCCTCAGGTGTTGGCTCGCTGGTGCGCTCTCTGCCCTGAGAAGTCCATCAGTGGATGTGAGCTGAGCTGTGCCCACTTGGGCGCGACCAATGGCAGCCGATGCTTGGATCTGGAAGGGTATGTCATATTGGGAAGGGCGCGAGTGTCTGGCTTATTGTTCTTTGTGGGTTCATCGGCGAAGGCCCATGAAAGCTAGGGGCAAAGGAAACAGCAGCCGCATGCGGACTGTTTTGGCGTGGCGCTGGCCTTCAACCAGAATATCCGTGCTTTGCTCTATGGCCTTGTTGACCAGTGCGACCGAGAACACAGATGCAACAACATGCATATATGTGCATTCTAATTCACGTGCGTGGTCCCGGTGTTGCTTTCCAAGCCTCTGAGAGCCCAGTTGGCATGCCTTAATATGGGGCCACCCGCACAAAAATGGCTTTGGTTTCCCTGTGGGTTGCGATTTACTCTGAAAAATCGACACCCTTGCAGACGAGTTTTTTCCGCCTGCGCCTATGAGGTGTGCGCTTGCGTGTTGGCATCGTGCTGCTGCTCCGAGGACTGCAGCCATTGTAATTATTTTGGTGGGCAAATTGAGGGGTCGAGCGACTAAAAGACCTCAGGACGTAAATGTGAATAATTGACATGTTTTGAGATGTGTGTGTTTTTGGGGGTGGGTAAACTTTTGCTTGCCCTCCGAAAGCACAACCACACGCATTGGGCATGCACAGGTGCACAGAGGGAAGCCGATGCGAGGGCAGGGAACCTCAGCCAATCCTGCCTGATCAAACGCAGCATGAAGATGAGGTTGGATTTGTAGAGCACTGACCAGAAGGTTTCATTCAAGGGAGCCTGGCTAGTTCAACCTTGCTGGTACAGGAGACGTGCCTCCAATGACCACGCACGAGGCGCCACAAAGGAGTGTTGCAAACAATGCTGAGTTCAAATGGCCTGGAATCGTTGCTGGGCAAAGGGCAGTCCAGGGCAGGCCACTGAGTCGCGTACAATGGGAAAGGGGCGGAGAGAGAACGCGAGGAATCGGCAATACACAGCTCCAAGCTGTCACAATGTTCGGGTTGCTTGCCCGATTCGAACTTTCACTCCGTTGCTCAAATGCCCTATCCTTGGCAGGTCGCCGCTCAAATTTTGGATGAGCACCCTCCTTTCCAAATACCCGGCAGGAAATGAAGCCCTCAAAATCAAGATCAAGACAAACACCACCAAGCACCCATCTTAACACACCAATTGAACTATGCAACTTGAATTTCCAATTCTGCCGTGCCCCGAGCCAGTCCGTGGCTGCTGCCAGCAGCTGCCTCCGCCAGAACGACCCGGTGGCAGCTGCCAAAGCGCTGCAGCATGGGGCACCGCTCACGGCGCCTCGTCAAACTTCAGCGGTGCCCGTGGTTTAGCGTTGCCGAGGGCCTGGGTCCTCTTTGTTGTGTGCATCAAAATGGGGGACACTGTTTAAACATGATTCCAGAAGTCAACATGGTCTTGATTTGTTTTGTATTTTTGATCATTACGAGCCAGCATGCCTTGGTTGGCCTTGGGCACAGCATGAATGATACCCGTCGCAAACATGTGGCGGCTGCTAAAAGTTGGCAATGATGGCACTGTTCAAGCCAGGATCCGGCTTCAGATGACGTTGGCATTGGACGCCTCGCACACCAAGGTTTCAATCATGGTGCAGGAGCACATCCGCCAGGTGAACCAAAAAGATGCCGTGCCTGGCTGAGCCTTTATCGCCGAGTCAGACGGCACAGTCTTTTTTGTTGCTTTTGGTAAAAGAAATGCCAAGCTTGAATGATCAATGTTGGGCCTTTGAAGTAGGGTGGTCTGAGCGTGTGGTGGGTGTTCAGTTTGATCTCAAAGGCGTGGAGCGCCGACCTCATGCTTGCTTGCGCTGCATTTGAGGGGTTAACATATTTCCATGGACTGGCATGTGGCATGATGTCTCAGACTTCATAATCCTTCGTCACGGAGTGTCGCTGCGCCCCTCCGCTGATGTTTGCTTGGGACTAAGTTCCCAGGATGCGCGCGGAGCTGCTGAAGGGCTGGAGGCCGTTCCAATCCGTTCCATGTGAGTTTGGGCATAGGGTGAAATGTAGATGCAAAGATGCACCTTAGTTGAAGCAAGTCCTCGTGGCAACAGCAAGTGGGTTAACGCATTGCGACAACGGGGGAGCTTCTAGCGCCAGTCTCAAACTTCATTGAACGAAGCGCGATATCAACAATTCAATCCAAATACGTACTTTGTTTCACTCGAGACTCGAGTTTTTGTTTCAAAGCATCCGCAAGGGACGCTACGGAAATGCCCTTTGACAATGAAGGCCTGATCAAAAGATGCATGTTGGCCATTTTTGTTCGAACAGGTGGAACTGCCATTTGATTTGACATCGCAAGAAGGCCATCGCACCATGCAAACACAACCAAATTGTCCGTGCTCAATATCCCACGCCTGTTTGGATGTTTCCTCGCGTTAGGAGCTCCCCGACTCGGATGGACTCCCCCTGCGTCCAGGGCTTCTTAGTAGTATGGATGCGTTTTGGCTTGGGGGTTTGGTCGGTTTCAAGGGAAATCAAAAAGTGACGAATCATTCTTGGGGTCCCTCTATTTCAGTGTGACATGGGCTGTCCCCAAATCGGAGGGGGGCATCCAAAATGTGTGGATTTACTTTTGGTTTCACTTCAAAATGGCGCCCGTGTTTTTCTACCAAAACGGTTGTTAGTCATTTGTTGTTATAAGTCTTACAACCCGCGAGGCCAGGCGGTAAAACCCCGGATACGTTGCTCAAATGAAGTTGGAGGGGCCTATTTCGGGTTGGACACCTCAACAGGGAAGTCAGCCAATCATGGACAACACTTAAGATGCCCCAACTGTGGATGCCGCCAATTGTTCCAAAATCATAACAAACTCCATGATGACGATGGACATGTGGGAACCATGCATGAAGGGGACCAGAACCGTGGTCCACCTAAAGCGTTTGAGCGACTTTTTGGGTCAGGGCCTCACTCCCCGGGACCTGCAGCGCCTACGGCTTCGCCGCTCCGCTCCGTTGCCAGTGCCCTTCCGGGCGCCTTCGCCGAGGGCAACAAGGGGCACGTTCCCATCCTCAAACCCCCCAAGTCTCCTTCCGAAAAGCAGTCTGTTTGTTTCTGATTCTTCTGGCATTGGGAGGTCGCGTCGCCAATTTAGGACCTTCGGATAGTTGACATCCTGTGGGTTTCCGTTTTTGCCCGCATTTGTTTGGTCATTGCAACTAGGGTAGATGACCCTACTGTTTGGTTTTAGCTCTACTATCATGCGCTATGGAGTTGGCGTCAGCACTTCTCGGGCTGGAGCAAAGATCCGTTACAGCTCCGCTACAGCATCCATTACACCTTCGTTACCAGTCCGTTACACCTTCGTTACAGGTCCGTTAAAGCGTCGGTTACAAATCCGTTGCAGGTCCGGCACAGGTTCGCTACAGGTGCGTTGCAGCTCCGTTTTTTTCCCGCGCGCCTTTTCCGCCGCCAGATTTGTCCTCGAAACCCCCCCGTTAGGGATGCCTCCGGGCACTGGAGGGCTTTGCACGTTGGCTGTTGGTGAGCCGGGCAGCTTGCGGGCACGGCACGGCTCATCGCACGCGGCTGACACGCAGTCACAATCCGATTCACGCACTCTCTGCTAGAAATGAACAATAAGCTCGCCACTCAAAGAACAGTCGACTCCCGGGCGACCCGCCTCCGGTCGTCGAATGACGTTGGCTGAGGGCCCAACCCTTGTAGAAGCCGCCCGCCACAAGGCGGCTTCTGGAATCCATTTCAGGTCTGTTACAGCATCTTTTACAGATCCGCCAGGTCCGTTACAGGTTCGTTACAGATCCGTCACAGGTGCGGTACAGGTTCGTTACAGGTCCGTTACAGCATCCGATACAGCTCTGTCGCAGCCACCGGCGTCCAGACATTTGCGTCATAGCACGGGGGCCCGAATGATGGTAGAGCTTAAACCCAACCCTACTGCATACACACTACCATTGTTTCAGTTTGAGCAATCGAGTCCATTTTATCATGCTACTCGAAAAGGAGCAGATCGAACAACAGGCAATCAATCGGGCAGAGACACTCCGCTCAGGTGGTCTCCACTCCGCTGGGGCTGGAAGAGTTGCAGGGCTTGGACTTCAAGGCCGGCATCCATGCATTGGGAATATTTATGTGGATTCAGGTTCCAACCCTGTGCATGTATATGCTCCGCCCGCTATAGACTTCAAGATCACTGACAGCAGTGTGAAAAGGTAGTCAACGGTTTGCTGCTTGCCTAGGTATTCCGTTAGGTGGCCTAGGCTTGATAACACAGGTTATCAGCCGTAAAGGCTTGTACAAAGATCGCCATGGCATCCGGAGATATGCCTGCCATATACAATATATCTGGAGATGTTGGTGATGGTGGTGAAGGCGCGGTTGCATCTAATGGTCCTGTCGACCCTCGTGATCCTCGAAATATGTTTGGATTCGCGACACACTACCAAGCCACCCAGAACATTATGCATGTGCACAACGACACGGGTGACGCTGTTCGGGAAGAAGCCAACACGTTACATCGTGTTGCAATGGATGCTGCAAGAGCGGAACATAGCGCTCATTTGGCAGAAACCGTGCATCGCCTGGATGAGGAGAACAACCGCCGGACTCTTGAGCTGCATGAACAGTTCGCAGAGTCCCGTGCTTTCTTCAGTGCCCAGGTTAGTCAGATGCGGGGAGCAATTTCTGCCGAAGTGAATGAAGCTGTGTCGCAAAGAACGGCCCAGTATAGCGCTTTCACCCTTTTCAGGAAAGAACTGAATGTAAACATATATGGATTC